CCCCAAACCCCACCCGAACCCCTCCACACCACAGGGATCACAGCCAGCTCAACCCGCCTCCCCTAAGCTCCTCTCTCCCCCTTAGGCGAGGCTTTGGGGTTTAAGCCGAGCTCATCGGGACCCGGCACATCTCACTTGGGGCACAACCCCACATTTGGGGATTTGGGGCTCAGCCAGGCACAAACGGGGCTCAGATCTCACTCAGGCAAAAAAGGGGGGACAAAAAGGGGTTGGGGACAAAAAGGAGGGGACAATCCCCAGGGATGGGGAGCGAGCACTGGGAATAGCCCAGGGAAATCCATGGAAAGTGCCATGGAAATGCACCCAGGTTGGAAATATAGATGAATAAATGGATAATGCACGCCAGCACGGATATATTTATATGTATATACAGCAAAGGCACGGGGATTGATCGATTTATATGTATATACACCAAAGGCACGGGGATTGATAGATTTATATGTAAATATATAAGAAACACACACACGGCCAGCAATGCCATCGTGTCGCGCCCGCCCGCGCCGCCCGCCCTCAGAGCCGCCTGCTCCGCCCGCCCGCCTCGCTTTGAGGCCGGCGCGCCCGCGCGAACCGCAGAGCCGCAGGAGGCCCGCAGAGCCGCGCTGCCATTGGCTGAGAGGCCCACCCCTGCCGCGCTTCTATTGGCTGAGCCCCCCGCGGGGCGGGGCCAGCCCGCAGACACGTGTGCGCACCCGGAAGTGGCGGCGGGACCGGCTCGGGGCTACCGGGGGGTTCAGCTCCAGCGGGTTTGGGCTGGGGGCGTCCCAGCACCGCCCAGACCCTCCAGGTATGAGGGGACACCGCTCCGGAGCTCCGGGTTTGGGGGATGCGGGGGTCCTGTCACCGGTCAGAGCATTTGGGGGCGCCACTTATGGGGGGTTCAGGGGTCCTGGGGTGGGTCAGGGGCTCCGGGGATCCGGGTTTGGGGGTTCAGGGGTCCTGGGGCAGGCCAGGGGTTCAGAAATGTCCAGGGTTGCGGGGTCTGGGGGTCCTTCGGCTGTCCCGGGGGGGTCCAGGTTTTGGGGGGCTCAGGGGTCCGGCAGTCCCAGGTTTGGGGGGTTTGGGGATCCTGGCACCGGCCGGGGGCTCCCGGTTTGGAGGATTCGGTGATGCCGGGACCGGCCCCGCGGCTGGAGGGCTCGGGATACCAGAGCGGAGCTGCCGGTGTAGGGTTGGGGGGCGGATCTGGGAGTGTTTGGGTGCTCCTGGGTGGGCTGCAGGATCCCCTGTAGGAAAGGAGAATCTCCCTGGGGAGCTGGGGGGCGTCTGAGCCGGGCACGCACCTGCAGGGACTGGGAAAAGCCTTGGAAACTGACCCTGATGTGTGTGTGTGTATTCCCTGTATATTCCCTGTATATTCCCTGTGTATTTCCTGTATATCTCCTGTGTATTCCCTGTATATTCCCTGTATATTCCCTGTGTATTCCCTGTATATCTCCTGTGTATTTCCTGTATATCTCCTGTGTATTCCCTGTGTATTCCCTGTGTATTCCCTGTGTATTTCCTGTATATTCCCTGTGTATTCCCTGTGTATTTCCTGTATATTTCCTGTATGTGTATATAAATCTATCAATCCCCGTGCCTTTGGTGTATATACATATAAATAATGGCATGTAATATCAATTTATTCATCTATATTTCCAACCTGGGCGCATTTCCATGCATTTCCCTGGGCTATTCCCAGTGCTCGCTCCCCCATCCCTGGGGATTGTCCCCTCCTTTTTGTCCCCAACCCCTTTTTGTCCCCCCTTTTTTGCCTGGGTGAGATCTGAGCCCCGTTTGTGCCTGGCTGAGCCCCAAATCCCCAAATGTGGGGTTGTGCCCCAAGTGAGATGTGCCGGGTCCCGATGAGCTCGGTTTAAATCCCAAAGCCTCGCCTAAGGGGGAGAGAGGAGCTTAGGGGAGGCGGGTTGAGCTGGCTGTGATCCCTGTGGTGTGGAGGGGTTCGGGTGGGGTTTGGGGGTTCTCTGGCTCTTTTCCTGAGGCTGCTCCTGTGTCCTAGGCCAGCATGATCGCGGGATTGGGGCCGGTGCTGCAGGCGGTGCTGGGGACGTTGCTCACCTGGGGGCTGACAGCAGCGGGGTCAGCGCTGGTGTTCGTGTTCTCCAGTGGCCAGGTGAGAACTGGGACCCCCCAGGATCCAAATCTGAGGGCAGGGGAGCCCTGGGATCCCCCAGGATCCAGATTTGGGATCAGCTCCTCATCCCTGACATCCCACAAAATCCAGACCCCGGGGCTGTGCCTTGCTCGTGGCTACGTTTGTCTCCCTGCTCTCAGCTTTGATGGACAAGATAGAGGAAAAATCCAGCTCCTTTCCCAACACACAGGAGGGGAGGAAATCCAGTTGCTGACCTGGGCTGTGGAATGTGCTCCTGGGGCTCTGTGCTGGGAGCAGCAGCTCCCCTCCTCCAGCCTGCCTTTGCTGCCTGATTTCCAGGGCAGGATTTGGGTCAGGCCTTTGCTCAGAACGAGCAGAGTGCTGAGCTTTAAGTCATCCTGGATCCAAAATTAGAGGCCCTCCTCACCAGGGCGTTCCAGATTGCCCAGATCTGGATTTATTATTTATGCCTTGGTCTTGTGATGATTTATTCAGGAGGTGGCTGCAAAGTGAGGCTCCCTTTGGAGGAGAACTTTGGTTTTCTTCTTTGGGGAGGGGGTAAAACCTGCCCTGACAGTGACAGGGACATCTTCCACTGTCCCAGGCTGCTCCAAGCCCTGTCCAGCCTGGCCTTGGGCACTTCCAGGGATCCAGGAGCAGCCACAGCTTCTCTGGGAATTCTATTCCAGAGCATCCCCGCCCTCAGAGGGAAAATTTCCTTCCCAAAATCCCACCTAACCCCGTCCTCAGGCAGTGGGAAGCCATTCCCTGTTGTGCAAAGTCCCTCTCCAGCCTGGTGACCCCTNTTTTTTTTTTTTTTTCCAGAGGCGAATCCTGGATGGGAGCTTGGGCTTTGCTGCGGGGGTGAGTGCAGAATCCTCCTCCTCCTCCTCCTCCTCCTCCTCCCTCCCCCGTGTTCTCTGCAGCCCCTCCACGCTTGGTTTCGCTGCCCACTGGAGTTCAAATCCCTTGGAGAATTCCCTGAGGGCAGGGAAGGGCTCAGGCTCAGCCTGGTCCTGCCCTGGCTCCTCCTGCCTGAGGCTGGAGGTGGCACCAGGACGGTCACCAGCTGCCCACGCTGCTTTGGGCTGCCTGGAAATCAATTCCTCTCGTTTCCCTGGAATTCTGGGAGAGCTGGAGATGGGCAGGAGAGTTGTGCTGGGGGCTGCTGTGCCTGGCTGGCTTTGTGCTTCCCCATGGATGCTTTAATCCCTGGGGAGGAGAGGGAAGAGAGAAATCTCTGAAATCTGGGGCTTTTCCTGGAGGAAAATGTGCAACTGTGGGGCTGGGATTGGTGCAGGAATTTGGGAATGTGGGGCTGGGATTGGTGCAGGGTTTTGGGAATGTGGGGCTGGGATTGGTGCAGGAATTTGGGAATGTGGGGCTGGGATTGGTGCAGGGTTTTGGGAATGTGGGGCTGGGATTGGTGCAGGAATTTGGGAATGTGGGGCTGCCACTGCTGAGGTGCTGGAGGGCAGGTGGGGCCTCATCCACACTCATTAAATCACCTTTGTGATTAATGATCACCTCATTAAGGATCAAATCCAGCTGCCAGACGCCTCCCTGGATGTGCTCTGCAGGGAGGTGCCCATTCCCAGCTCTGTGCTGGGGTCACCTGAGCCCTGCCTGGGCAGGTGGCCCCTGGGTGCCCTGGTGGGTGACAGGAGCTGGGTTTGCTCCCCTCGGTGGCTGGGGGGGCATCCCTGGGCTGTGATTTCTGCAGGAATCCCATCGGGATTTGGAGTTGCTGTCCCTGCTGTGGCCACCACGTCACCCTGGCAGCAGCCCTGAGTCACCCCAGGTGTGGCTCAGGAAGCAGAACTCCTGCAAGCAAACATTTTGCAAACAAACATTTGCTTTTCCCTCAGCTCTTCCAGCTGGCACTGCCCAGAGCAGGAACGGGGGGATTGTGCCTGGAGGGGACAGGCAGGGAGGGAGCCCTGGGGACACCAGGATCCCCCTGAATTTTAATTTTCCCACCTTGGCAGCGTTGTCATTGCTTGGCCAACAGCTGGGTCTCCATCTTTTCTCTGGTTTAACACCACAAGGAACTTTTCCTGTCCCCTTTCTCCTGGTTTTTGTGTTTGGTGGTTTTGTAAGAATCAGGAGAAATCCCCTCGTGGTGGGGTGTCCAGGTGCCCTCAGGGGACATCCAGGTGCTCTCAGGGGTGCAGGGAGTTGTTTTGGGGTGCAGGGAGCTGTTTTGGGGTGCAGGGAGCTGTGCCTGGGCAGATGTTCCAGCTGATCTGGGTGTGCTGGGTGAGCCAGGTGAATGGAACTGGGCTGTACTGGGAGAGCCCTGGCTGTACTGGGAGCATCCTGAGGGCTCAGGCTGTCCCTGCTGGTGGCCCAGGTGTCACCTGGGCTGGAGGGACATGAGCAGCTCCGTCCTTGTGGGGGAGCCCTGCCCATCCTGCCTCTGCCTTTTCCCTTTCCCAGTTCCCTGCCTGGAACTCCCAGATCTTCCAGGGTTTTCATGCAGGAGCCTGGGAGGTGATGTGTTTCCATAGAGACAAAGCTTTGCTTGCTGGGGCATCTGATGTGAAATTCTGCTTTTTCTCTTAAATCTTGATATCCTTAAACGAGATTTTTTTTATTTATTTTTTTTTTTTTCCCCCAGTTTTTCTCTGTGGTGATGCAGGGCTGGGCTCAGACACCAGGAACAAAAACCTGCACCCTCCTTTTCCCTGCAGCCTGGCTCAGCTTTTCCTCTGGCTGGCCTGGAGTTTGGTTTTTCCCTGTCCCAGGTGGAGCAAGAAATCACCCAGGGATCAAAAATTCCCTTTAAACAGCACCAGGAATTCCCACAGCTCTGCTGGGGCTGCTCAATGGAGCCTTAATGAGGCCAAGTGGAAAATTTTGGCAAGGAAAGTGCCCTGCCAGTGCCTCATCTTCCACCTGCCTTTCCCATCTCCTTTTCCTGGATTTCCTGCTCCCAATAATTCCCTCCCTGTTCCCATTCCCATCCCACAGGAGCCTGGCCAGGCCCTCCTGCTTTAATTGGGATTTAATTGTGTGGGTGTGGAGGTCGTGGCTCTGTTTATTGTGGATTTGCAGATAAAAGTTCCCTCAGCCACAGGGCTGAGCTGGATCCCTGAGTTTGGCTGGGGGGTGAGGAGAGTTTGAAGCCCAGAATTTTGGGGATTCCTGTGGAAGGAGATACCCAAACCCTGGTGTTTGGGTTTAAATCCTGCTGTGTTTGGGCACAGATCTGGATTCATTTGTTGGTGTTTTGGTTTTTTGGGGTTTTTTTGCCTCCTGTCCCATTGCTGGAGCCCAGGGAAGGATTTGGGCTCCCCAGGGATCACTCAGCTGCTGCTCCTCCCACCCTGCTGCGTTTTCCCAAAATTTATGCATTTATGGCATTGTTGCACCTTTGGAGCACAAAGGTTGGGAAAATGGGAAACTTCCCCAAAATCCAGCTTGGCAGGAGCAGGGGGTCCCTGTGCCAGCAGCTGGGAACTGGAGTGAGGGGAAGGTGTGGAAAATCCACAGGGGAAGGTGTGAAATTCCTGCTCTGCATTTATTGATCCAGGGGGTTTTTTCCTCTTTTATTCCTGCCCCTGGCTGGGCTATTCCAGAGCTTTGAGGTCGGTGTGAATTTGTCACTTCACTGCGGTTTTTGGCAGAAATCCTCCCCCTTCTGTCACTTTGACATCAGCTGATGGGAACTGCAGCTGGACCAGAGCTCGGGG